ACTCATTAGCAGAAATCAAACATGTTTCTTCCTTATCAAAAACCATGGTTTCAGAAAGTCACTGTCACAAGATTGGAACTTTAAACAGAAATGTCAAGAACTCAGGGCCTTTTGTGATTAATCCCTCCTTTGCTGGAGGGATCTGCCACCTTATTCCCAACGATGCCTCACTAATAGCCAGGGCTCACCACTGATATGCTCATTACCTGCCCTTGTAAATTATGGGGCCACACATTCTCTCTGATTCCATCCAGGTTGACTCAGCTTTGGGAACAGAAGGGTACTCCTCCATCAGGGATTTATAAGAGACAGTTCCACCAGTTGAGAACATTCTTCTCTTTAGATGTGCTCCTGCAGGAGTGTACACTTAATGACTGTTTTGAGGTAGGTCCTTAAGTAGCTTGTCTTTCCTTTCTTAACTTCTTACAACTAAGAGAATGCATTGATCAGGCCCCCTTCATGCAATTACTGACACCAGGTAATAAATATGGATTGGCCCCTGGCTCTGTGGAATCTGTAAGGTCTGATCTTCCTGCTCCCATGAGCAGAGACTGAGAGGCGGGTATCATCAAAGTCACAGGAAATCTTCACTAGCATTCCTTATGCCACTCAAGTTTCTATCCTCTATCTATCTGCACATTCAATCTCATCCATTGCTCAAAAACTTGGCAGGGAGATTGTAGAGAAGATAGAAGCACCAGTTTGTGGACTAACTAAATGCCTTTTAAGGTCCTTCTCAGTCAAAATATAGACGGAAGAGCACATATGAACAATTGCCAATGACAAAATTATATTCTTATTCAGCTCAGTAGATACTTACTAGATACCCATTACATGCCAGGTACTATGGTGAAGCATTACTTCATAGTAAAGATAACTAGAATTCAATTGGGATGATGCCATTACCCATTTGTTTTAGAGATCAGAATTCCCTAATTTTAGTAACAATGTCCAAACTCCAAATGCTATCATGGCTCATATTTGGTAGCCCCTGGCCTGTTTCTGATGTCTCCCCAAACTGGCTCCATAGATTTCTGGGCCTTTATTCAGGAAGTGCTGCTTCCTTCTCCACATCCCTCTAAGCTCAGTTTAAACATCACATCCTTGCCAACTTCCTCCCCAAAGGGACTGTTCTTGTGAAACTTTGCTGGCTCTTGCAGTGCAGCAGTGATTGCATTCTACTCTGTAATTCAGTTGACTGTTTCTGAATCTGTCCTGGCAGAGATCCTTGAGGGCAGGGAGCAGGAAGATCAGACCTTACTGTTCTAGTATCTCCAGTGCAATACTTTGAACACAGTAATAACTTTAGCTATTATTTTCTCATGAAGAAAAGAATGAATCTCTCAGGTGCCTTCTAGATCAAAGTTTAGTTGAATTTGGTTTGATGAATACTGATTGATTTGTAGAATCCAAATCAGTACTAAGAGCAGCTGTACAGAAGCTGGGTACTTGGAAAGAGGATGGACTATGGGCAATCCAACTTGGGCTTGATACCAGCGATGCTATTTCCTAAGCTATTGGCATTGGGACATTGCTTCCATTCACTGAGCCTTGGATTTTAACCTATAAAATGGTAATAGGCACTGGGGGTGATCTCTAGGACTGCTGTGAATATAAAAATAAGACTGTGTATCAAAAGTCCTTACACAAGGACTAGCACTCAGTGGAAACCAATGTCAGACGTCAAGTTTTTACTGATAATAAGATTACATCACTACCCTGACAAAAGGGTAATGTGAAGGTGAGAACAGAAACTAAGCCAAAAGTTGCAGAATAATGGCTGCCGAAGAATTAAAGATAGGGAGTAGCAGGATGAAGTAGAAGAGAAATGGGATGAGTCCAAAAGTGTATGCGGGTATTATATTATTCTTTGGGTAACTTGTTGCTTTTTCTCTCCAGAAGTACTCAGTTCAATACTCAGTTGAAGTAGAACTGGGCTTCAGGATGGGCGAATTCAAGGCCACAGCTGAATTGATGAGGGCCCTAGAATCTCTCATTGTGTGTTTTATATGACTTGAACCCAATAAGACTGACTGAGTAATTTAGAGAGCTTTCAGAGGATTCAAAGCACTTATCACAGATGGCTGCACACGTTACGGGTACTCTTGAACAGCTGAATTAGAAACATTAAGGGATCAGACTGACTTATAGGGGCATACTCCAGGAGACAATAGGAAAGTATATATTTTTTTCCACTGGAAATATTCAGTCTGTTTTTTCTTATTAAGGAAATAAATTATCATGATAATTTCAAATCAGAACATTTTTGCACCTCACTTTCTAGAAATTACACAGCAAATAAACAAAAAGATAAATGTGTGGTTCAAAACCATATTTGGTATTTGACCTGAACTCATATGGGCCCCCCATGTATGGTATAGTTTTAACACATGGGTAAAAATTTATATATTTTGCTGCAGAAATATGTGCTTCATAATGGCATTGTCCGGGTGTTCCCTGTGGGTATCACGTACTGTGTGAGAATTATGCTAAGTAAAATTTGGAACTTCTGAATTCCAAAACAAATCTGGTCCCAAGAGTTTCAAAGGAGGGATTGTGGATCTTTACAAACTTAATCATGTCAGACATTAGGCCATATTTTCCAAGCTTTTATCATTCTCTATCAAATCAACACTTTTGCTACATTTATATATAACCTGTATTATCATACTTTCCAGTACAGTAGTTTCCCTTATCCACATTTCCTCTCCTACCCCATGGTTTCAGTTACCCACAGTCAACTGTGGTCCAATACATTAAATGGAAAATTCCAGAAATAAGCACTTCATAAATTTTAAATTGCACATTGTGCTCAGCAGCACAAAGAAATCTTGTGCTACCATGCCTGGGGTGTGACCACCCCCATCTAGCATATCCATGTGGTCTTTGCGATCTGTTAGTCACTTGGCAAATGTCTAGGATATTAGACCCACTGTTGCAGTACTGTCCCACAGTGAAAGAACAGTGATGCAATTCAGATATGCCAAATAGAAGCCAAAGTACTTCCTTTCATATCATCCCAAGAGGAAAGGTGAATATAGTATAATAAGCTATTTAGAGAGAGAGAGAGAGAGAGCACACATTCACACAACTTTTACCAAGTACATTGTCATAATTGTTCTATTTTATTATTGTTAATATTTTACTGTACCTAATTTATAAATTAAACGTTATCACAGACAAGTATATATAAGAAATAGATATATATTTACAGAGTTCAGTACTATCCAAGGTTGTTGGCATCCACAGAGGTACTAGAAAAGGAGGGACTACTGCACTTGCCTTCAGATCCTTTTTCCTTAAATAACATACCTTTTAAAGAAATGCCTTATATCCACTGCAAAAGTTGAAGGCCTGAGAGGTCTGTTCTCTGGTTAAAGAGTGAGATTCTGATAGAATAGAGAGGTGTTAAAGACAGAGTAGAATGAAACTGAGATCTTTGCCTCAAATCATCAGAAAGCTCAAAAGAAAACTGAAAAAGAAATAACTACCTTTCTGTGTGACTCAGTGCCATCTGTGCCATGCCGGCACACCATCTCCAAGATCCTATGCTTTGGGAAACTGGCCTAGACTGTCATCGTCCTGATACTCAGGAAACAACTCTGCTGAGAGAGGAAGTCTGTTTGGGGTTGGGGACATGGCTGTACAAAAGCATAACATAGCAGTGAAGAGGGCTCATTGTTTTTTCTCTTTTTGTTCTGTCACCCAAAACCCGTTAGCTGGATTCAGTGGTCACTTGCTGCAACTGTTTATTTATCAAATTGGCACCAAAGTAATTTTGAGTACAACTCTCTGGAGCATTCACAGCCTCCACTTATCAAAGGACACCTCAGAACAATAGGACCTAGATGTGTAACACAGACTGACCAACGAAATGACAAACAGGACCTCTATCCTTTATTAACTACACTAGCCACTGTAAGTAATGGCTTTCACAATTGGTAGAGTAAGATTTATTGTAGAAAGAAAATATGTCAGTATTGAAAAGTACCTTCAAATAGATATCATCTATACATATTTTTGTAAAAATAAAATAAATTGGATACAAGGGAGAGTTCTTCCTTAGAGTAGCATACTGGGAGTTGGAAATGTTAGAGGTTAGAAATCTCCATTTTGTAACCATTTCAAAATTAAAAATATAACTACACATTGATTAAACTAAGTGATCAAAATTAACATCACCAGTAAGGGGAAAACATCATGAGCCTCTGGATGTGGTGGACCAATATCACTACTGAGGTATTCATGAATCTAATCATGAAGAAACATCAGACAGACCCCAATTGAAGGAGATGTTGCATAAGCTTATATTCTTAAAAATGTCAAGAAAGACAAAGAAAGACTGTAAGATTGCTCCAGATTAAAATACACAATCCTGGTCAGGTATGATGGCCACAAGCCTATGATCCCAGCAACTGTGGAGGTTGAGGCAGGAGGATAGAAATTTTGAGACTAGTCTCAGCAACTTAGGCACTCAGCAACTAAGCAGACCCTATCTCAAAAAAAAGCGGGGGGGCTGGGGATGAAACTCACTGGTAAAGTGTCCCTGGGTTCAATCTCTAATACCACAACAAAAATAAAAATAGAATCCCAGACTGTATTTAATATTAGAAAAAATATATAAATTATTAGAATAGTTGACATAATTAGAATATGGATGTCAGAATAGTAAAAGAACTGAATCAATGTTAAATTTCCTGATTTTGAATACTAGTTAAGAGAATATCTTTTTTTTTTTTTTAAAAAAGGAAATACATGCTATGAATTCAAGAGTATAAGGCAATCTCTTACCCTCAAGCAGTTTATGAAAAAATGCATATGTATGCAAATAGGAAATGATCAATATTAAAAATAGGTGACTGTGAGAAAGATAAGTGGGAGTTGTTTTACTACTCTTCCAACTTTTCTGGAAATTTGAAATGAGGTCTAAGAAACTTCTCCCAGTTCACGAGGCTGACATGGAAGCCAACATCATACCCCTGATTTCCATTTGGACTCACCATCCTTCTGAGAATCCTCAGCAGAAGCTTCTGCTCCTTTGGATCTTCCCTGGCCATCAGCAAATCAGCAAAACATTCCACATTTTCAGGAGACAGGCTGTCTGGGTTTTCCCCTCCATACAGCTGAACTAGTATAGACAGACACTTGGATGAAACCTCAAAAATTTCAGGATCCTCACTAGGAAGCTGAAAAGTAATAAATAGGATACTTGAAATTCCATTGAAGATAACGTTGGTATTCCTCAAAAAGTACAGTAAAATTTGGCTCAGAACATCTGTCTGAGCAGAAAGTTTGACTAATTGAATATTTTTTGGAATGAATCTATTGTAAAGTTATAGGATAGCTCAAACACAAGGCTAATGGCACAAAATCAAAAGAAGATCCTGTAGTCTTTTTTTTAAACCAAAGGAAAAAATGAGAACTAGTAGAGGATGGAGATGTATTTTACATCTGGCATATGCATGGATTCATCTCTATTTATGGGGGAAAGGTGTTGATGGATTTTTCAGGGGCAAGTTCCTTTAGATTCTCATTTACCCGTAACTTGCTTAGGGAAAATCCACTTTCTAGAGAATATTAAGGAATATTTTAGCCTTTCCTGCATCCAAATCATCATTGACTCTACAGAGGGGAGATACAGCATTGGTTCTATGTATACTAAAAGATACAACATGAAATAGTAATCATATTATAAACATTTTAATCTATTTTTAGTTTTTATTTTATCTGCAATATCTTTATTGAGATGTAATATTTATACCATATAATTCACCCAAAATGTATAATTCAACAGTTTTTAGTACATTCACAATCATGCAACCATTAATACAATCAAACCCATTAAAATTATTTTTGGTGCTCTGGATTGAACCCAGGGCCATGCCACACTAAACATACACTCTACCACTGAGCTATATATCCAGTCCCTGCAATTAATTTTAGAACATTTTCATCATCCCCAAAAGAAATCTTATACACTTTAGTAAGATTCTGCTATCCTCTTTTCCTGTGCTTTTTGTTTCTATGTATTTACCTATTATGAATATCTAAGATACATAAAATCCTATAAAATGTGATCCTCTGTGACTGGCTTCTTTCACTTAGAATTATGTGTTCAAGGTTCATCCATGTTGTAGCATGTATCCATAAGATGGAAGTAACACATTTTGTTTACCTATTTATAAGCTGGTGGACATTGAGAGTTTTCAATTTTAGGCTATTCTGAATAATGGTGCTGTGAACACTGTGTACTTATTTTTGTGCAAGCATATGTTCTTTCTTTAGGGTATATACCCAGGAGTGGGATTGCTGGGTCATGTGGTCACTCTATGTTTAACCTTTTGAAGAACTGCCAGGCTGTTTTCTGAAGTTGCTATTTGCAACAACAATGTCTGAGAGTTCTAGTTTCCTCACATCCTAACCAATTCCTGTTATTACCTGACTTCTGCATTCAGCCCTCCTAGTAGCTATGGAGTATGATTTCCATTTGTACTTTCCTGATGGCTAATGATGCTGAATCTTCTCACATGCTTATTGGCCTTTCGTATATCTTTTTTGGAGAAATAGCTGTGCAAATCCTTTGCCCATTTTTAAAATAAATCATGTGCAAAAAAATCAATATAGCATGTGACTTTTTATGATTGAGTTCTGATAGTTCTTTATAATATTTTAAATATGATTTTAGAAAAACAATTTTCCATTCTGCAGGTTCTCTTCTACTGTCTTAATAGCATTCTTTGAAGCACAAAATATTTTAAATTTGAAGAAGTTTCATTTATCTTTTTAATTCAGGGTTTATATACATGATTTTTGCAACATATCTAAGAGTGCACAACCAAGCTCATGAGGACTTATATGCTTTTCTTGCTAAGGATTGCTTTGGCTATCCTGGGCCTCTTATTTTTCCAAATGAATTTCATGACTGCTTTTCTTTTATTTCTATGAAGAATGTCATATGAATTTTAATGGGAAAAATTCATAAAATATGTATAGCACCTTTGGTAGTATGATCATTTTGACAATATTAATTCTCCTATCCAAGAACATCAGAGGTCTTTCCATGATGTGATCCCATATCTAGAAGACCCCAAAAAACCCCGTGAGAAAACTTCTAGAACTCATAAATGAGTTCAGTAAAGTAGGAGGAGACAAATCTAACACCCATAAATCAATTGTGTTCCTATGTTCCAATGATAAAGCAGCTAAAAGAGAAATAAGAAAATTATTCCATTCATAATAGCCTCAAAAAACATACTTGGGAATCAATTTAACAAAAGATGAGCTTTACAATGAAAAGTACAGAATACTAAAGAAAAAAATTGAAAAAGACCTTATTTTAATTTTCATTCAGTTCTATGCATTTTAAAATTTTCTTTTAAGACTTCATCTTTCACCCATCAATATTTAGAAGTATGTTTTCTTTTTAGGTGTTGGAAAATTTCCATTTGTCCTTCTGTTATTGACTTCTAATTTGATTCCACTTTGGTCAGAGACTACTTATGATTTCAGTATTTTAGTTTTTTTTTATTACTCCTTATTTATAGTAATCACTTACTACCTTTCTGCTTTTGTATAAGTGTTTGCCTTTTGAATATTTTAAACTTTCTTTTACAAACTTCCTATCCTATTTTCTTTCCTCTTAATAATTTTTAATATTATTATCTTTAAGAACATTCATGTTACTGCCATTATTAGTACTAAGCAGGCCATAGTTGATACCTACTACTTACTTTAATGTTAGATCTAGTTCACAGCTGTTCATTGCTGCTGCTATTGTTAAGTGGTTATCCCACCATTCCATTTTGTGGTAATGAATGGTGTACATAGGCACTGGACATTTATTCTAATGAGGTAATTGATCATTATTGTAGCTGCTGGTGCTGTTTTCCTTTTTTCTGAAGAGGAGCTAGGAAGCAACTGGTACACTATAACTTCATAGGGTACAGACTCTGTAGCTGAACTATATCCCCAACTCAACAATGAAAAACAGTACACCTTCCTCCACACACAAATCAACCCTAATCAAGCTTCAATAATACTATAACACATAGAACAGGGGAGATAAAAACTCCAAAACAAAGACTAGATCCAAAGTAAATATGACTAGAAGGGAACATCAGGTCCTACTCTTTTTTTTTTCTTTAATATGTACTTTTTTAGTTGTACGTGGACACAATACCTTTATCTTATTTTTATGTGGTGCTAAGAATCAAACCCAGTGCCTCATGCATGTCAGGAGAGCGCTCTACCACTGAGCCACAGCCCCATTCCCAGGTCCCACTCTTGGACATCTATACCTACAGCAAAATCAGAGAAAGAACTCTAAAAAGATTAGAAAACACATACTATTATAGCAGTTTAATAATGGTGAATTAATCCAGCAGTTCAGCAGCAAATCTACAGGCACTGGTGGTGAAAAATAACACTTGAAATACACTGAACTTATGTGATGAAGCAAATGGAAACCAACATGGAAGTCATTACAAAAGAGACAACTACATGCCAAAGGATGTCCTCAAAAAACAGGAAAAAAAATCTACCTCAAAAGATGTGCAAGTATAAGACCTCTGAAACATGAAGAAACAGGCAAACAAGTCTCCTCCTATCTAAAGATACAATCCCCCAACAAGGGAACACACACAAAAGGTGACAAAATTTCAGAGAAAGACTGAAAAATTGATTATTAAAAGAATTAATGAGGGCTGGGGATGTGGCTCAAGCGGTAGCGCGCTCGCCTGGCATGCGTGCGGCCCGGGTTCGATCCTCAGCACCACATACAAACAAAGATATTGTGTCCGCTGAAAACTAAAAGAATAAATAAATATTTTTTTAAAAAAAAGAATTAATGAGTTAAAAGAAGATCTAAGAAATAATTAAGAAATGAACTAAGAGAGCAATTATAGGAGGTAAAAGACCATCTCAACAAAGAAATAGAAACTCTGAAAAGGAACCACTCAGAACTAGAAAGAACGATACAATAAATCAAATAAAAAATTCACTCGATAGCATTACCAACAGACTAGATTACATAGAAAGCAGAATCTCAGGCCTTGAAGATAAGGCATTTGAGCTAGAACACTCAGTAGACAGTAAATTAAAGTAAATAAATGCCATGCTCAGGATATACAAGAACTCTGGGGCAAGATTAAGAGACCAAACATGAGAGTCATCAGGATAGAGACGGAATAGAAATACAGGCTAATGGCATTAAGAAACTTTTCAATGAAATAATGTCAAAATTGTTCACATCTTAGAAATGAGAAGATCATCCACACACAGGATATAGAACCCCAAATAGACAAGATCAAAAAAGAACCTCCTCTAGACACATCATAAACAAAATGTCTAAGAAGAGAATGATAGAATATTAAAGGCTGCAAGAGAGAAACATCAGATCACATTTAGAGGTAGACCAATACAACTCACATTAGACATCTCAACTCAGAATCTAAGAGCCAGAAGGGCTTGTAATGAGATAATGCAAGCTCTGAAAGAACACAATTGCCAGCAAAGGTTGTTATATTCAGCAAAGGAATCATTCATAATTGTATAAGAAATAATAACTTTCCAAGATAAAGATAAAAGAATTCATGAATATAGAAATTACTAAAGAAATACAACAGAAAGAACTCAAACCTCACAGTTCTCAAATAGTTGAAGCTTTCCAGAAGAACAATTAAACAAATGAAAATTAAAAACAAGTTAAATCTATGAAACATACCAAAATGACTAGAAATAACAAACATGTCTCTGTAATAACTTGATTCTCAACTTTCCAATTAAAATACATAGAGTAGTAGACTGGATTAAAAAACAAGACCCAATTATATGCTGCTTGCAACAGACTCATCTTATACACAATGATCAACAGGCTGAAAATAAAAGCATGGAAAAACATATTCCACACAGAATCTGAAAACAAGCAGCTATTCTCTTATCTGCCAAAGAACATTTCAAACAAAAATTAATCAGAAGAGACAAGGAAGACAGCTAAGTGCTGTTAAAAGAAATAAACCAACAAGAAGATATAATTATAGTAAATATTTATGCCCCAATGTTGACACACCTAATTCATAAAAACACTTCTAGTTCCAGATAGACTCCAATACAACAATACTTGGTGATTTCAACACACCCCCTCTAAACAAGAGACAGGTCATCCAGATAAAGTCAATAAAGATACTTC